GTCTTTCCAACCCGCTCTTGCTTGAACCACCACCATCCGACCTGCGGGGGCTGTTTGATCTCAGCGGCGCTGAAAGGGTCCCCTCCGCCTCTCCACAGGCTTCTTTTCTGATGGCGCCGCCGTGAGACCCAGCCTCTCCTGTGCTCGCTGCACCACTCTGCCTGCCTCTCAGTCTGCCCCCGACTGACCCATGGGCAGGAATTTCCCAGTTTCCTGCTACTCGCCCACAGCCATCCTTCATTCACCCAACACGCGTTATTACACTGGACCCGGAAAGCTGGCGTCGCAGCTGCCCCTGGGCAGGGCTGTTAAGGATCCAGCTGTGACTGGCCTCATGAACTTCTATTTGAAAGGGTCCCTCTTTCAGCCGCAAGCCAGTTTAGAAAGAGGCGCGCACCTGATCCCCAACAGGCCCGCCCCCCGCCGCCCACCTCCTCACCCTCACTCCTACCTGTAAGCAAGCTCTCTTTTCCACATTCTGGCTTCCTGGCACCCCAGGGGCTCCAAACAGTGCACGGGGTCGTAGTTCTCAGGCCCGCTTGGCAAGACCAAGGCAAGAATAAGCTCCAAGTTCGGGGAAGTGACCTATCCTGCTCTTGGGAAAGGGGTGGAGTGGGGCCGCGGGTTGGCGGAGCTGCTCCTCCTGTGCCCAGAGAGTGGACAGAGTGGGGCTGGGCAGGACTCTGGCAGCTGCACATAGCGCGGGGGGCCCGCAGCACGGGAGGACCACGGCGCCAGAACATGCACAAGACCCTTTCAGACGCGGCTCTTATTTTTTTATTCATTTAATTGTAAAATATAGCATGCATCTAGGAAAGTACATAAAATAGAATAAGTAGCTTAGTAACTTATTATAAAATGAGCACCCCTGTAAGCACAAGATGAGTCGAGAAATAGGATTTGGGCCCTGGCCAGTGTGGCTCAGTGGTTAGAGCATCAGCCCGTGCACCAAAGGATTGTGGGTTTGATTCCCGGTCAAGAGCACGCACCTGGGTTGCGGGTTCTATCCCTGGCCCGGGTAGGGGCAGTGTGGGAGGCAAGCAACCAATGTGTTTCTCTCACATCAGTGTCCGTCTCTTATACACATCTA